GTCATGTTGTTTTGTGTCATTGTCATATTGTTGTCATGTTGTTTTGTATCATTGTCATATTGTAGTCATGTTGTTTTGTCATTGTCATGTTATTGTCATGTTGTTAAGATGTTGTCATGTTGTCATGCTGTCATGTTGTTGTCATGTTATTTTGTGTCATTGTCATGTTTTTGACATGTTGTTGTTAAGATGTTGTCATGCTGTCATGTTGTTGTTGTCATGACGCTTTGTGTCATTGGCATGTTGTTGTTATGTTGTTTTGTGTCATTGTCATGTTGTTGTGTTGGTGACATGCTGTTGTCATGTTGAGGCAGATGTTGACTGCTGGGTGGAGATGCTGACACACACGCATGCACACACACACACACACACATACACTGTGTTGTATGAAAAAAGACACACAACGTTCCAGAAGGAAAAACACAGCGTCCGATACAGAAGGACGAAGATGATGGATGGGAGAATATGGAGGATGAAAAGGAACATGACACAGACAGACAGACAGACGGACAGACAACTGTTCTCACCTCTCTGTGCGTCTCCCTCTGATGAAGTCATGGCCCGTCTCCCTCTCTTCCCTCTGCCTCCAGCAGCAGCTGATGAAGGAGGACTACAACTCCCAGAGTTCCACGGGGCACCGCTCAGACAGGACACGGTGTGAGGCTGCAGCAGAGAATTCTGGGTGATGTAGTTCCCTTCTCGGGGAATCTGGCTCGGCTGCAAAGAGTCTGCTGGTGAGCAGAGAGTGAATGCTGCTTCACCGCTACTCAGCAGAAACACTGCAGCCTCCAGCTGAACCAGCAGCTCCGAGGAGGGGGGGGGAGGAGGGGGGGAGACGAATGGATGAAGACCGCGAATGATGAAGATGAAGAGGGAGGGACGAAAGGAAACCATCAGCAGAGAATGATGAGACAGAAAAATCTGATGAAACACCTGCAAAACTGGATGATTTACAGCTTCATGCAATAAAAACAAAGATATTTTCTGAATAATTAAAAAAAACAAAATAAAACGTTTAAATGTTTTTCTTTTACTTTACATGAAGGGTGTTTACTGTTGAAAAGAAAAATGTGATATTTGTTTTAATTCCTTTAAAGACCATCTTTAAAGACTTTAAAATGCTAATGTTTACTTTGTTTTTGTTTGTTTTGTTTGCTTTTGTTTCGTTTTTATATAATTTATCCAATTTACTTTTCATTTTATATGATTGTTTATTGTTGTCTGAACCCAATCTGTGTTCTTTGTTTAAATCAGATCTCTGTTGTAGAGTCCTCGAGACTAACCTGTAGAAATAAGGTTAAATAAGGTTGAATGAAGTGGTGTTTACCGGCGAGCTCCCCACAGGATTTTAACCGGAGACTGCAGCGCCCCCTGCTGGCTGGAGCCTCACACTGCAGCTATTTATTTATTATTTATTTTTTGACACTCCAGGAATAAATTTACTGAACTGTAATTAAAAATATCAACTGATATTTATTATAAACCACAATGAACTCACCCGGGCTGTGATTAAGTTTATTCTAGAGTCAACAGAGCCTTTTCCTACTTCGCTCCTCGATCCTGGAACACCTTGCAACAAGATTTGAAGCTCTCGACCTTGACCTCTCTAGAGGCTTCAAACATCAGCTAAGTTCATGTCAAAAACCAACGCAGACGTTTCTGTTTATAGCATTTTACACCGTTTTTATAATGTAGCTGTTTTTTTTAGTTTTATATCTTATCTTTTTTCAAAGCAATAGAGATTAAAATATAATTACATTCTGAATATAAACATAATAAAATAAACATTACAAAATATAAAAATGAAGAAATTTATTGTACAAATATATAAATAAAAACAAGACATTTTAAAAATATCTTTAATTCTGAAATACAAACTTTTTGTTGGAAATGTATAAAATCAATTTTTTTGTTGTTGAAAAATAAAAATATTTTATTCTGGAATACAGACAATACATTTTAAAATATAAAAATATCAAGTCCATTTATTGCAAAATGTAAACATTTTATTTTGAAAAATTTGCATATTGTGAAACAGATAAACTATTTTTAAGAGTAAAAACAATAAATCTTTTGGTGAGCTTAACGCCAATACATTTATTTTGAAAAATAAAAACATGGTTGGTCAGTCGGGTCCATCTGAGCTCATGTGACGCAACATGGCTGTGATGTCATCTCTGACATCATCACTGTTTGTCCAATCACAGAAATGTCTCGCCTCTCTCTGAGCAGCGTTTGATTCAACCTTTTTGATGCCTTCATTTTTTCGCAAACATCCAAATAAATAAAATAAATAATAAATAACTGCAATAAATAAAAACATAAATAAACTGCAGCTCATTTTACAGACAATAAATATTCTAAATAAAAGTTTCTGGTTTTGATTGTTTTGGATTAAAAGTCTGTTTTATGAGCTGCTATAAATTAAATTAATTAATTTTCACCTGACAGGTGGGCTCTCACGAGGTTCTGAACCCTCGGGGAGGAGCACCAAGCGGGCCCGGACCTGCAGAGAACCAGAACACCGGATTCCTGCAAGGTCTGTAAACATCCAGCGGCTGGCAGGAATCCCGCTCCTGCTGATCCTCGGAGCGATACCGCAGCTCGGCGTGCCGAGACTCAGCCCCGGACCTCCAGCAAGTTCTGGACCGATCCGGCAGGGTTCTGGGTTTGGTTCTGGTGGTAAATCTGCACTCTTCAGTTCTACTCAAACCACATAATACTTCTGTAGAACTTCAGGGGGATGGACCCAAGGACATGATACAGAAACAGAACCGTCCTCTTCATCAGAACCTTCAGGCTCTACTGTGGTTCTGACAAAGAGTTGTTTGCGGGTCGGGTCTTTCTAAAACCTCATCAGTTTCAAACAAGAGGCTGATCTGATCCGGACATACAAAGATCCTTTGGTTCTGATCCTGCAGGTCTGTCAGGTGAACAGAAGTTACAGACGTTCCTGTGGGTCCTTGAATGCAACGTGGCGTACTCCCTGGTGGGCGGAGCTTAGTGTGTGCCTGCAGCTCTGTAGTGGAGGACTCTGAAGGTCCGGATCAGGTCGTGGCAGAAGGACCGCAGCTGCATCAGCGTTAAGTGGACCGCCACCTGGACACTGTAGCTGTCCTGAAAACGAGAGACCGGGTCCAGACCGGGGTTCTGATCCGAATCGTCGCCTGCGAGCTGAGCCACCTCCTTCAGCTGAAACACAGAGAGCCGTTAGCCAATCAGACAGTTGATCACATGACCACAAGTCAGATCACATGACCTGGAGCTGCACCTTATTGATGTGTGTCAGCAGGTCTCTGAGGTCGGACCTCAGGTCCTCCAGACCGCTCAAGTTCTGGGACAGAACCGCCAGCAGGTTCTGGTACAGCTGAATGCCCGCAGACATGCGGCTGACACACGTGTCCTGTGGGGGGAAACACACAAACGCATCACGTTAAACCTGGCAGGGAGTCTGAGGCCAGCAGAGAAGAAACAGATTCATAGACACCAAGGACCCAAAGACCTGAACCAGAACCAACTCAGACTGGCCCATTCCTCTGTTCGAGTCGCATTACAAATAAAGTTACAGTAGTCCCTCGTTTATCGCGGGGGATTCATATCCTGAAGCCCCGCGATAAGTGAAAAACCACGAAGTAGGAATAGTAGTACAAGTAGTAAGTAGTAGTTTATTATTGTATGTATGTATATATATATTTTTTTATATATATAATATATAGGTGTTTTAAACCCATCCCACACTCTTGCGATATTCTAAACAATGTTTCTAAACTCTAAACGCTCTAAAAGAGACAGAGTGTCATGATTTCAACTCCCTGCCAGCGCTCTCGGCCACGCCCACTTCTCCGCTGCAGAGCAGTGATCCTGACACGCTGCAGGAGGAAGCTTCTTCTGCAGCGTGGGCTGCACAAAGATGTAGCAGGTGCTAAATAATTTCAAATAATTCATTTTAAATAAAAATCCCATGCCGATCGTGCGGCTCATCCATCAATCAGCCAATTGTGTCTCATGTCCAATCTTATTTTGAAAAACCGCAACAAAGCAAGTCCGTGATAAACGAACTTTGAAGTAGCGAGGGACTTCTGTATCTTTATTTAAAATAAAATAAAAAACTTCCTCAAAATCCAACAGAAGACCTTGATTAACCAACAGGAGCTCATCAAAAGAACCCTTCCAGAACCTTTAGGTTCACTCCAGTCTCATAGGACCCCCTGAAGGACCACTGCTACCAAAAAACCTTCTCAAAGAACTCAAAAACCTGGTCCTCCGTGAACCAGTGAGCCTCCAGGTAACCAAGACAACCTAAATGATCCATAACCTTCCCTGGTGTACCTCCAGAACCACTCCAGAACCACTGCAGGACCACCACAGGACTTACGGACCATCTTCTGAGGGTCAAGAAAATGTTTCAGGAACAAGTAAAAGAAACAAACTGAAGACAAGAACTTCAAGGATCCTGAAGACCTCACAAAAGACTTGAAGAATCCCAAAGACGGACCAAAAACCTTAAAAGTCCATCACATCATCAAACACCTGAAAGAGACTATATCAAATACGGTACTCATCTCTTCCAAAGACCCAAAGGACCTTTGAGCTTCCACAAGAACTTTGAACCACAGAACCTTCTGAAGAAGACGAGCAGTCACATTCACCCAGTCAACCCCCTGAGATGACCTGGACCTAGTTCTCCAGCTAACAGACGGAACCTTCTGGTTCTTCTCAGAATCACTTCAGTCTCTGCAGAAACCTCAAGACCCTCCAGAGACCCTCAGACTGACCAGGGTGAAGTGTTCCGACAGCTTCTTGAGGACGGGGGCCGCAGGAATTCCCAGGGATACCTCCATCATCTGCAGGTTGGACATCTGAGTGGAGGACTCAAGGCCGAGACCCTGAGGAGGACACGACGCAGTTAAAGACAGATGAAGAAGAAAAAGGAGGCGGAGCCCAGCAGAACCGTCCAATCAGGTCTCTGTACCTGGATGCTGACGGCGGCGCTGTGCGCTGCAGGGATGTCCTTCAGGATTTTCTCCACCAGCGTCTTCGCTTGCGTGGCCGTCTCCTCGAACGCCGGCGGGAGGCTGGACAGCGAGCCGACGGGAGCTGACTGGACCGAAGATGTGAACAGAAAGCAGCTCAGCAAGAAGACAGCTGGAAACAGGAAATGGTTTTAGTTAAACAGGAAGCACGAGGAGATCAATTAAAATATCAAACATCTGATTGGTGATCAGTTTTCAAACATTTATAAACTAATGTTTATGTTTTGGCACCATCAGGCTTCCGTACCACCCTCCTGTCTCTGAGTCCGTACTGAAACCAGGTTTGTGTCACGGGTCCCAGGTGTGTGGATCTACCTGTCCAGGTGTCCATGTCTGTCAGGGGGGCGGTGTGTGTCCGTGTCTCGGTTCGTGTCCTCTCCGAAGCTCCGGAAGTTCGTTTTCAGCTTCCATTTGTGGCCGTTTGGACCTTTTATGCGCGCGCTCAGCTGCGGGGTTTTCCATTGACAGGAACCGGAGTCATCCCGGAGTCACACTGTAAACCCGAAGTTACGAAGTCTCTGAAAACCTGACTGCGTCACGGGGAGGGAGTGGGGCGCGTGCGCAGTGACGGCTGCGCAGAACCCTGCAGGAGTCTCGGCAGGTGAGACACGTGACTGCACACCTTTTGGAGGAGAAACCGGATCAGATTAAACTCAGGTTTTTATGTTTCCAAAAAAGTTAAATCTGGTCCTCTGGACATTCCAAAAAAAAAAAAACAAAGCAAAACAACAAAAATATTTTTTATGTTTCAGTCAAATCTGAACGAGAATCTATGAAAAAAACAAAAAAACTTTAATCTAAAAACACACATTTAACCTTCAAATTCCTCCCGAGAGATAAATAAATGCATTAATGTTTCTCTTTTTGTTAGTTTTTATTGAGCAGATTCTGTTTTTAGATGAGTTAGTTTAAATGTTTGTTTTTTAAATCTTCTGACTGGTTTTTATTTCCTGCAGCTGAAATACCATACCACTTTATTTATAAAGCACTTAAAACAGCTGCAAAGCCAACCAAAGGGCTGTACAGACAAAACAACAGGTAACACACAAAGCAATATACAAAATGAGGTAAATCAGAATATAGACATAAAAACAATGCAGATAATGACGACAAACTAGTGTGGAGCGTACAGGATCAAAACACAGATCATCTGGTGTTGAAAGCTACTGAATAGTAGTGAGTTTTTAAACGGGACTTGAAAACCGAGAGGAAGGGGGCCTGTCTGACAAGCAGAGGTAACTCGTTCCAAAGTCTTGGTCCTGCTACAGAGAAGGCCCTGTCACCTCTGCGCTTAAGACGAGTTCCTGGAACTGTGAGGAGCAACTGGTCTGCTGACCTCAGGGAACGTGGTGGGACATACGGTTGTAGCAGATCAGAGAGATGGGGGGGGACTGTTCAGTGATTTGTAGACATACATCAGTATTTTGAACTGGATTCGAAAGTGAACCGGTAACCAGTGCAGTGAGGCCAAAACTGGTGTAATGTGCTCTCTTTTGCCTGTACTGGTTAAAAATCGGGCTGCTGCATTCTGGACCAGTTGTAGTCGTGCAATGGAGGTCTGACTGAAACCAAACAGGAGTGAATTGCAGTAATCAAGCCTAGATGTAATGAATGCATGTATTACTGTCTCCAGGTTATTTTTGGACAATATGGGCTTCAGTTTAGACAGCCTCCTCAGTTGGAAGAAACATGATTTAACAATCATGTTTACATGATTGTTAAGTTTCAGGGAAGGGTCCATTATCACGCCCAGATTAGTGACTCTTTGTTTTCTGACAGAGTTAGAGCGGAGAGGTCGATGCAGTGGTTTGTGATCGTGTCATTGGGAGGGAACAACCTGACTTCAGACTTCTTTTCGTTGAAACTTAAGAAGTTTAAAGCCATCCAGTCCCTGATGTCAGCCAGGCAGTTGAGCAGCGGTTGAATCGTGCATGTACCATCGTGTCTTAGGGTGAAGTAAATTTGACAGTCATTGGCGTAGAAGTGGAAGGGCATGTTGTGTTTCTGGAAAATAGCACCAAGTGGCAGCAGGTATAAAGAGAAATGATTCACTTCCTGCTGCAGGAAATTAAAAAAAAAAAACTCTTTCAAGTTTTAATGTTTTATTGCAGACGATGAATTTCATCAAGGCGAGCTTTATGTACAATCTATAAATCATATACATCCTGTGATCAGTTTATTGATTATAGACTGATGTAAATCTGTTTGACGTCACGCTCAAGTTTGACCCGAGGGCAGCAGGGCAGCAGGAGGGCTAAAACAACAAGAAAGGGCTGTTTAATATTTATTTGTTTGTTTATTAAACCAGTAAACAACCTTATGTTAGGGGGAGGACACTAAATGTTTTTTTAGAAATTTGGGAGAAAAAAAACAGATTAAAATAAAATAAACTTTATTCCTGTTTAAAAATACACATTTTGTTTATGTGTTTGTTTGTCACAAGATGTTGCTCCGCAGGGCAGCACGGTGGCGCAACTGGTAGAACTGTTGCCCCTATAGGTCCCCGGTTCAAATCCTGATCCAGGGACCTTTCTGGGTGGAGTTTGCATGTTCTCTCCGTGCTGGGAGGGTTTTCTCTGGGTACTCTGGTTTCCTCCCACAGACCAAAAACATGCATGTTAGACTGATTGTTAACTCTAAATTGTCTCTAGTTGGGAGAAAGAGTGAATGGTTGTTTGTCTTGTTTGTCTCTGTGTCCCTGTGATGGACTGGAAACCTGTCCAGGGTGTCCCCCGCCTCTCGCACAGTGATTGCTGGACATGGCCACCAGTGATCCCCGTGACCCAAAAAGGAAGAAGCGGGTAAAGCTAATGGTTGGATGGATGTTGCTCCTCTTTTATTTTTGAGAATCTCTGATAAAAATCTATCCAGATGCAGTTCAACTCCGCCCCAGCAGAGGGCGTCTTCCCCCCAGAGTCACTGTCAGTCCCATCTCTAGTCCCGACTATCGTCCCGCCTCTCGTCTCGCCTCTCGTCCCACCTCTTGTCTCACCTCTCGTCCCGCCTCTCGTCACGCCTCTCATCCCGCCTCTCGTCTCGCCTCTCGTCCCGCCTCTCGTCTCGCCTCTTGTCCCGCCTCTTGTCGCCTCTCGTCCCGCCTCTCGTCTCGCCTCTCATCTCGCCTCTCGTCTCGCCTCTCGTCCCACCTCTCGTCTCGCCTCTCGTCCCGCCTCTCGTCCCGCCTCTCGTCTCGCCTCTCGTCCCACCTCTAGTCTCGCCTCTCATCCCGCCTCTCGTCCCGCCTCTCGTCCCGCCTCTCGTCTCGCCTCTCGTCCCGCCTCTCGTCTCGCCTCT